GCAGCCCATTTTTTAAATTTTTATAAAAGCAACGTGGTGATAAAAATGTTTATAGTTATGAACATCACACTTCTTCGCATATAACCTTGGAGTGCATTGCACATAGGTCAAAACAAATGCACACTTTCAAAGCTTTCAGTACATATCGCTAAGCCATCCTCTGGGAAGTTTCTGTCAATTTACCTTCCTGTCAGCAAGCTTTTGAGAGTTCTCAGAATCCTTACCCATTTAAAATATATATATATTTTTTTATTTTAAAAGTTCCTGCTAATTTGGTGGGAGAAAAAAGAAAGAGTCTCTCAACTATTTAAGTTGTATTTCCTGTTTAATAGTGAAATTCTTTATGAATGCACTTTTATACGTTTGTTAAAGATTATATCAGTCAGGGTTCTCTAGAGGAACAGAATCAACAGGAAATATGATTATAAAAAGAGGCTTATTAGGTTGACTTAGGTGACCAGAAGCTGGATCGTCCACAATGGCTACCTACAGGCTAGCGAGCTGGTAGAACCAATAGCTGCACAATCCAAGAGGCTGAGGCCCCCAAACAAGAGAGATCAAGAGTGCTACCCTAGTTCAATACTGAAGGCTTCTGGAAGCTCCCTCAAGAATCACTGGCAGAGTCCACTTTGGAAAAGTGAGGAAGCAAGAGTCTGATATCCTCAGACAATTGCAGCAGCAATCAAGAACCCCTTCAAGAAGAATTGAGCTATCATCTGCTGTGCTTCCTTGTTCTTCCATTTTTTTATTCCATCCAAGCCACCATCCTATCAGATGGTGCTGTCCACGCTTAGGGAGGGTCTCCACTTCAGTTTATTATCCCACATGCCAGTCATTCCTAGATACAGCCTTATGACACCCCCAGAAGCCTCTTAACCATCAGCATCTCTTAATCCAATCAAGTTGCCAATTCAAATTAACCATTACAAAGATTCTTTTGTGTATGGTGAGGTGGAACTATCCTGGAGTCTGACTGTTCATTTACTGGTGACCTGGGATTAATTCCTGAATCTTCTGATACTATGACCTACTTCATAGTCTGTATGAAGACTGAGGAGGGTATCACATGAAAAGTACCCTGAAAGTACCAGGCACACAGTAAGCACCCAGTCTGTATCAGCTACTTGTATGATCTCTGTCATTTACATTTCTTCCTAAAATGAGATGTCTTCTCATTGTGTTTGCACAAGTGCTTGGTATTTTAGGGCTTTTTGTTGTTGTTAGTTTTTAAAAAATACGTACTCTATGTTTAAAAAAACTAGAAGAAAGGATTTTGAAAGCTTTCACCATAAAGAAATGCTATTTAGGGCTGGGGATGTGGCTCAAGCGGTAAGGCGCTCGCCTGGCATGCATGCGGCCCGGGTTCGATCCTCAGCACTAACTAAACGATAACTAAAAAATAAATATTAAAATTTTCTCTCTCTCTCTCTCTACCTCTCTCTCTCTCTTAAAAAAAAAGAATTAAAAAAAGAAATGCTATTTAAGGAGATACAAATGCTTAAATTGATTAAGCCATTATGTAATGTGTCAATTAAAAATAAATTTAGGGCTGGGATTGTGGCTCAGTGGCATAGTGCTTGCCTCGAATATATGAAGTTATATTATATGAAGTTATAATATATAATGGGTTTGATCCTCAGTGCCACATAAAAAGAAAGAAAAGAAAGAGAAAGAAAGAAAGAGAAAGAGAGAGAAAGAAAGAAAAAGGTAGGTAGGTATTGTGTCCACCTACAACTAAAAAAAAATGTTTAGAAAAAAACAAAAACAAATTTAAAAAATAATTTTAATGGGTTAAGCAAACTAACCTACTATCTGCCTAATATTATCATTTCCCTCTAAATTCTGATTTGCTTAAATTTTGTTCCAAGTACAAAGAAAATTTCATACACACACTCATAACACACACATATGTGTATATATACACATATAATGGAGTTTTATTCAGTCATAAAGAAAAATGAAATTTTCATTTGCAGGATGGAACTGGAGACCATTATTTAAGCAAAATAAGCCAAATTCAAAAAGCCAGGAGTCCTGTTTTCTGTCATATATGGAAGCTAGAGAGGAAAAAAGAAAAGAAAGGTACAGGGCAAGGATCTCCTGAAGATCAAAAGGAACTCAGTAAAAGAAAGGAACCTGGGATGGGGGGAAGATGGAGAGGGGAGAGGAAGTGCTGGGGAATGATATAAAGGAACTCAGTAAAAGAAAGGAACCTGGGATGGGGGGAAGATGGAGAGGGGAGAGGAAGTGCTGGGGAATGATATTGGCCAGACTATGTTATATGCATGTATGAATATGTAACAACAAATCCCATCTTTGTGTATAATTATAATGCAACAATAAAAAATCTAGGAAGAGAAAAGATGTTTTTGTTCCAAGTGAGCAAACATTTTAATATCAAGACATTCAGGTCAGAATAAGGCATAGTTTTGGCCCAGGCTGGGTTTTTTTTCCCCCTCTCAATCAGACTGAAATGGGAGTTGCTCTCCCCTTTGTTGAGATGGTCTGGTATTGATTTTAGTCACCAGATAGCAGAAATGACATTTTAAGCAGGAAAATGTATTACCTTTAAAATCACTACCATAGAATAACGCTTCTGCTTAATTTATGTAAATAATGATCATGGTAGATGGGAGGCTGTGGTTAATATGTCACGAGTTTCCATTTACCACTAAATCCAGCTTGTCAGCATTCCATTAGTGGTGCTATATAAAATTGATTACCTCAGCTTGAAAGAAGCTTTTAATTTGAGATCAAAATTGCTGATAGATTTTACAGCCATTAAGCACTACTACTTTCCCCCTTTTTTCTGCAAATTATATAGTAAGAGAATCTCTTTAGCCATGAAGTCTCACGTATGAGGGCCAAATATCTCCTACTTTGGCATATATACAGGGTACTAAAAATAAAAGTTTGTCACTTCACTAGAAAAATATGCATATAGTGAACATCATTTTTGCCTTGACAAGCAGGGAAATTATCAGAAATTCTGCTTGAGCTGCCAACTTGTTATGTTACAAAAAAACCATTAAAAGTAGGCAAATATTGCTGCGTGATGTATAAATGAGAGTGGTTATATTATTGCTGTAAGGCTATATATGATTGAAGTTTTCATATAAAAAGTTTTTCTAGAGCCCTGTCATGGCGGCGTCCAGTGTGCCAGCTGAGGTGAGGAAACGCGATGCTGGGCTTTTTGTCCGCGCGACAAGCGGGTTTGGAAGACCCTATGCGCTTCCAGAGAAGGGAGTCCACACGGAGGGTTTTGGGACTGGAGTTAAACAAAGACAGAGATATTGAAAGAATCCATGGAAGTGGAGTTAACACCCTTGACATTGAACCTGTTGAAGGGAGATACTTCTGCCATGGTTTCACCTCATAGTACATGAGAAACACATGCAAGGAACAGGATTCTCACTTTTACATGTGGTTAAATTTAAAACATAATCAGCAATAATTGTTTTCTTTTTCCTGGTTCTTTCAGGCTCACTATAACACTTCCTATTCAAGGACAGCTATGTGACACTAACTTATAAAATGTATACAGACATGGGAAGCAAGGGATAGCTGATTTCTTTTGGTTTGGGGTTCTAGTGGAAAGAATAAATATTCATTACTATTACTCCAGCCAGCCATTTGGCATCATGATTATTTGTATGACCTATGAAGTGTATGAAGCCAGTTGGCAGTGGGAAATATGAGAAATTCTAGATTATATGTACATGAAATATGGTTGGGAAATACAGGCTAAGGAATCTTTTCATAGAACTTAGAGAAAAGTTTGAAGACTTGCTACAGTGTTGTTCCCCTTTATTATATAATAAAAATCTATAACTCTTTGTTTCATTGTTTACTGAAATTTGCATTTTGTCTTAAATACTTTTGGTAGCAAAAGATAAATAAAAAGGATTTTTTTCTGAAAAAAAAAGTTTTTCTAAAAAACAGTTTTGTTAATGATGTTTATCATTAGGGAATTAGGGAATGATATTAGGGTCAGGGGTAAGAAAATGTCAATTTTTTTTTTTTTTTTTGATACTGTGTGTGTCTCTGTTGGCCAGGCTGAGCCTAAACTCACTAATCCCACCTCAGCTTTACCAGATGCTGGGACTATGGGTGTTGGCCATTACACCTGGCTTTTTTTTGGGGGGGGTGTGCTGGGGACTGAACCCAGGGTCTTGTGCATGTGAGGCAAGCACTCGACCAACTAAGCTATATATCCCCAGCGCACACCTGGCATCTATTTCCAAATTTTGTACTGTACTTTCTTATTAGATTTCATCTTTTTACATTTTTGTTGTTTTACTTCAAGAATGTTTTACTTTCACAATATTTTAAGAGAAAAAAATTTAAGCTGTGATTTATATGATAACTACTTTAAGAGTTATTCTGTTCAGGAAGGAATGCTCACTAATACTAACACAAAATTAGGAACATTTAGTGTTGGTCCCAAGACCTTATAAATTGTTCTTATTCAAAAGTCCCAGTGGGGCTTGGGTGTAGCTCAGTGGCAGAGTGCTTGCATAGCATGCTAGTGGCTCTGGGGGTAAAATAGAAAGAAAGAGAAAGAGAGAGTGAGCAGGCAGAAGGAAGGAAGGAAGAGGGAAGGATGGAAAGGAGGAAAGGAAGAAAAAAAGGAGGGGGAAATATTCTTATGTTTACAAGACTTTTCATATTTTTTTCTGTATCTGTTTTGATTGCAATGATTGGAAGGCAAGAAAAAGAAATTGTTTCCCAAAGCAATCTAAAATTTTCAATTGCTGATTGAGTTCTGCTGGCCTGTGACATTGAACTGCAGAAGCCTATAGGCTGTAAAAACACAACTGTTCATGCCTTTGAGTCATATATATTTTTTTAATTGTGAGCAAAATGCTAGAGAACATCTAGCTTCTTCGGTGCATTGAATTAGGAGCACTGATCAGAACTTTTCTTTAAGCTTCAAGTCCCCTGAATGCAAATGTTTGACTGTCGCTAGAGGAATTTAACCTCTGCCTCTCTTTTTGCAGGCAACATGAAGGACCGGCTAGCAGAACTTCTGGAGTTGTCCAAGAGTTATGACCAGCAGTTCCCAGATGGGGATGATGAGTTCGATTTGCCCCGTGAGGACTTCGTGTTTGAGACCGACCACATCCTGGAGTCCTTGTACCGAGACATCCAGGACATTCAGGATGAAAACCAGCTGCTGATGGCCGACGTGAAGCGGCTGGGAAAGCAGAATGTCCGCTTCCTCACGTCGATGCGGCGCCTCAGCAGCATCAAACGCGATACCAACTCCATTGCCAAGGCCATCAAGACTCGGGGCGAGAGCATCCACCGCAAGCTGCGCGCCATGAAGGAGCTGAGCCAGGCCGCCGAGGCCCAGAACGGCGCAAACTCGGCGGTGGCGCGCATCTCGCAGGCGCAGTACAGCGCGCTCACCCGCACCTTCCAGCAGGCCATGCACGAGTACAACCAGGCGGAGATGAAGCAACGCGAAAACTGCAAGATCCGCATCCAGCGCCAGCTGGAGATCATGGGCAAAGACGTCTCGAGCGACCAGATCGAGGACATGTTTGAGCAGGGCAAGTGGGACGTGTTCTCCGAGAACCTGCTGGCCGATGTGAAGGGGGCGCGGGCGGCCCTCAACGAGATCGAAAGCCGCCACCGTGAGCTGCTGCGACTGGAGAACCGCATCCGCGACGTGCATGAGCTCTTCTTGCAGATGGCAGTGTTGGTGGAGGAGCAGGCAGACACGCTGAATGTCATCGAGCTCAATGTGCAGAAGACTCTGGACTACACGGGCGTGGCCAAGGCGCAGGTGCGGAAGACCCTGCAGTACCAGAGGAAGGCCCCCTGCTGGACCATCTGCTGCTGCTGCTGCCCGTGCCTCAACTAGCAGCTGGCCCACACCTCCACCACCCATCCCTAGCCCGAGCCACCCTGGAAAGGACTGTCAGTGGCCAGGTCCTCTGCACTGGGCTGAGAGGCTCTCAAATCCTTAGAAAAGAAGAAACGAGAGGCTCAAGAATTGGAACCCAGCTCTTGCGGAAGGAGATAGCTGATACCTTCCAAGGTTGTTTCGGTAAAGACAGATTACTAGTGAAGTTCTGTGACACTGCATTATTAAATGACACTGCATCTTTCCTCTCCCACCAAAGGTTAAGGAACTGACATTAGACCTGACCATAGGGTTGATGTCCAAAGCACGCTTCCTGTTGAAGCTCAAGGAGAAGGTCGATTTTACATCCACTCACAGTATGAACTCATCATCAAAACTTAAATTCGTTTGTCTTGTCCTGAAAGTGTTGGTTCTGTCCAATTTCCGGTGAAATTGATCTTGGGAAAAAATGGGCTTTCTGCATTTCATCTGATTTATGATATGTGATTTGGGCCTAGAGGTAGACCTTTCTCCTCACCTCCCCTATCAATAAAACCCACATGGAACGCTTACTATCCCATAACTTTCTCTTTTAATACCTTCCACCACAATAGATTTTGTGATTACTTTTCCAAATAATTTTAAGCACTGAATATTGAAGAAGCACTCAAATAGAAGTATATATCAGTCATATTTTATGTATTTTCACAGATAAGATTTATTTAAAATTTACTTTTTTTACTTGATTGCATATACACAAATGTATGTAAATGTAAAATACTAATATTCACTAACCTGTACATAATGACCAATTGGCTTTATCTTTACTTTGTAAATATGTATATAAATATTAAGAAAAACACTTTTCCTGGCTGTTGGTGTTAGTTTGCTTGTTTGAGTTTATCTCCCTCCAATCTGCTTCTTCATAGTCCAATTTGGATCCAAATTATATTTTGAAAAACTCTGCATTGGTTATGTTAGTAAAGACAGGTGTTAAAGGCTGAAAACATATGGAACCAGAGACAATAAAATTATGTTCTTGGAAATAGTACTTTTGTTTTAATGGTAGACCATTCCTTTTGTACATTAAGATGGAGTAATTTAAAATGAAATAATTCTGTTTTTCAAGTAAACTTTAAAACATAAATATCCATTTTAAACATTTGTATCTTGACCATTTAAATCTCGGCTTACTTTTTCAATTATTTCTAATTTTCTCCCCCACTAGGCTACTTGAGGCTATACCTTCTAGATGGATCTCTGAGCACAGGGGGAAAATGATAAACTCAAAGARTTTAGCTACAGGTGTCTTGCTTTCTCAGTCCTGAGTTACAACAGCTTATCAAAGTCATCAGGTTTTAGAGATTTGGTTTCATTTACCATGCTTCTAGTGTTTCTTCTGAGTCAACTCTTAACTCTTTTTACCCCTTATTTAATACAGAAGCAATTTTAGTCAGCAGTCATATTTCTTAGGCCCTCCAGAAGACGAGATTTTTTGAAAGAGTAGAATGTGAACTCTTTGGGGCTCACTGCCTGACCTGCTTAAGACCAGGTAAGTCTAGCCCTACAACATATTTCATGGTGTAAATATGACAATTGTAGAAACTGGGTCCCACCAAACTTTTCTCAGATTTCTCTCAGTTTCTTTCCAGCTAACTCCAAGGATATGTTTCCCCTTTGACTTAATACCCTCCTCCCTAGAGCAAGAGAAAGAGTCTTCATACAGTTCCATTGTGGTAGTTTTCACTGTAGACCAAAAAATATATATATAWAWATAWAWATATATATGTATATATAAAATAAATGGAGAATTTTATACATATATAAAATAAATGGAGACCTCCAGTCTCTTCCCACAAGAAAAGACAGCTCACATACTGAACTCATTTGAACCCTAATATACCTAGCATGAGGGAGGCTCTGGGTTCTATCCCTAGTACTGCAAATAAATAAATAAATAAAACTCAAAATTAAAAAAAATATATATATAAACCCTAAATTTTTTTTTGCTTAGAATCATCGTAAAAGTAAATATGTTAGAGTATTTTATAATTTGTAAATCATGTATTTATATGAATTATCCTAATTCTTATAGTAAACTGGAAAGATTGACTTTTTGAACTACTAAGGGTTTAAGTTATATTTTTAAATATTTGCTATATATGTCTGTTGTTGTTGTTGTTCACTCCAGACAGGAAAAAGTATTCATTACAAAACAATACTAGCAATGGCTTCAGTTTTCATAGAAATAGTTTCACTAATTTTGTCTTTGCTGTTACAAATTGATCCAGTGATGACAGAAATGCAGACATTATTTTTCTGAAATTTTAAATGGCACAAGTAATGTCTATAAATAGGCATTTGTAAAAAAAAAAGTAATAGAGTTATCAAGATGGGATTTTTAAAAATGTGCTGGATCATTTAAAGAAAAATAAATACATTTGCTGAATACAGTGTCAATGTTTGTGCTCCCAAAATAATATTGTGTGGTCACAAAATCAAGTGACAGGAGATGCATTTTGATCTTTTGCTGTCCATTTTCTATATTCAGTTTTTCTTAAAAATAATACCTTTAACATGATTTTTCCCATCAAAATGAGTATTTTGGAAAAAGAAAATTGTTAAAAGTGATGTACAAATATTTTGTTTAATTCAATAAATATTTATTGATAGAAAAAAGTAAACGTGTTTAGGCTCTATGTATTTTTAAAATTCTTCATTTGAACTTGGAGAATTAAGTAAAGACTTCACTTGATTGTACCAAGAGAATGAGAAGACTGTAGCCTATGGAAATTGAAGGATTTTTCTTTCTCCTGGTTAGTAACCACCTGAGTGTGGCATGATGGTAGTATTATAGCTTATGGACCCCATGCTGAGATTTAAAGCCTGACTTGAACACATTATTCAAGCCTCAGTTTYCTATCAATACAATGGGAATAATAGCACCTACCTTAACAGAGCTGTTATGAGAAGTAAATAACCAAAAATGTAAAAGTGTGGAAAACAGTGCTTGGCACATGTTAAACATTGTGTTTCATTATTGTTACAGAATTTTCTCTTCAACTGAGAGAGCTCTTAGTGACCCAAGTAAATAAATAGGTATGAAGTTTGGAAGAAAAAAAAAATAAAGAACTTATTCTTCTGTTAACAGTCTTTAATAAAATGGAATAAATAACCCAAGATCCTATCTTATTTGAACATTAGAGTTTTTTCCCTACAATGATACATTTTTTTTTAATGATGGTATTTCATAGTGGTATTTGAAGTCCGTTGCACTCCTATGTTTGAAAAAGAAATATGTTCCATGGAAAGCAGGAAAACAGAAGGGAGCTACTCTGCTCAGTTTGGCCAAGTGCTTTCTCCTGATGTTTTCCCAAGATGTGAGTCAGAGAGTCCCTGATGAAGGTCTGGGTTGTCAAGGCTGGATCACAGACTCATGGAGAAGGCATCAGTTGTCCCAGCCCAAACCCTTGCCCAATCCTCCAGGCTCTGACTGCCAACCCAGGCAGCAGGTGATATGCCAGTTTTTTCCTCTGTAAAAGGTACTTTAGGGTCACCAAGAGATGCTGTAGAGTTGACTTTCCCCAACCATGTGAGGCTCACTTGATGAACTCTGAAGGGTGACTTTGGGTGAGAAATTGTACAAATTTCAAACACAAACATCATTTAATGTAGGACAAGAAACAATCACAAAAAGCAGCCTATCTTAAATAGCAGAAAGTGGAAATCTTCTAAAGGTGTTTCATATGTAGTGACTACTTCCAATTAGCCAAATGCCAAACCTTAGAGCCATGGCCAAGCCATGGATTGTAGATGACAACACCAGAAACATCCTGAGAGGGAAAGGGGCTCACCTAAGATGTATTGGKGTCCAGGGTAAGATGACGGATCACTGAAAAATATTTGGTCCATGACAAGATAGGAATAATTTTGTGACCTTTCAAGATCACAACATGGAAAGAGAATAGTGCTTTTTTTTTTTAACCCAATGCCTTTACACTTAAAAAGAGTAAGTTCAATGTCATATATTTTTTCCAGTTGTACCATAAAAAGTTCAAATCTTGACAAGAAACTACTGAATACTGTGCATATCTTTTAAATAATAAAATAATGATGGTCTTGTTATTAGGAATAAATCTCAGCATCTATTATCAACCATTTCTACTTTCTGTTGAAATATGCAAAGTATCCCCAACTACATCATGTACTCCATTCATTTGAAATCAGTATGATAGTTTGAAACATCCAGTTATAATCCCACTTAACAGTTGACTTACATCTGAGAGCAGAATTGAAAATAGTTGCAATCAATAAGGAAGGACTAGGAGCTGGGGCTATAGCTCAGTGGCAGAGCACTTGCTTTGCAGGCACAAGGCACTGAATTCAATCCTTACTCTCACATAAAAATAAATAAATAAAATAAAATAAAGGCATGATGTCCATCTACAACTATGATTTTTTTAAAATAAAGAAGGGCTATCAGAAATATAAAATGAATAGGATCTAAAGTGTAATTYTACTATCACATAAATACTGAGAGTCTTTATTACCAACACATTATAAAGAATTGCCAAGCATCTTTATACACTAGAAGCTTTTGTAAAGATTGTGTGTTTACTGGTAAGAAAGAAGATGTTCTGAACTGATATTCTGAGTGAGATTATAAGGGATGCTTTGAAACCAGTAGCATCTTGGGAAAAAAATGAGTATCAAGACCTCAATGTTATCCTTTGAAAATTCTTAATGGTCTTTCTAAAGAATACAATATACTTTCTGTCATTATTTTAACTTTAAGCCTCCAAAATAATTTCTTCCTTCCTTCCTTTCTTTTCTTTTCTTTCTACCAGAGATATTATGGTTTGGATGTGAGGTGTCGCCAAAAGCTCATATTGGAGACAATGTGAGAGGGTTCAGAGAAGAAACAATTGGTCTGGGAGAGCCTTAAACTAATCAGTGAATTAATCCCTAATGGGATTAACTGGGTGGTAACTGGAGGCAGGTGGGGTGTGGCTGGAGGAGGTGGGGAATTGGGGGTGTGGCTTTGGGGCAYACATTTGTATTTGGCAAGTGGAGTCTCTGCTGTCTGATTATCATGTGAGCTGCTTCCCTTTACCACACCACAAAATAATGATGGTCTTGTTATTAAGAATAAATCTCAGCATTCTRTTATCTACCATTAAACATATTTCTGCTTTCTGTTGAAATATGCAAAGTATCCCCAACTACATCAAGTAGTCCATTCATTTTTAATCAGTATGATAGTTTGAAACATCCAGTTATAATCAAAGTTAACAGTTGACTCCATGATACTCATGATGCTCAGCTTCACCTTAATCTCAGTGGAATGGAGCTAGCTGTGTATGGACCCCTAAGAAGCTTTTTCTCTTCTACAGTTATTCTGGTCAGATATTTTAGTCACAGTAGAAAAAAAAAAAACTGACTTAAACAAAGGATTTA